CACCAGAACTCCTGCTCTGTCCTTCTACTTAGGAAATAAAGATATCAGGTAGGTCCCGTCCTGCCTGCATATAACAGTCTTTGCTGGACGCCAGATTTAGTTCACAATGCCCTGGTGAGTGCTTGGATTCAGATGGACAAGATTTTAAATAGTGATGGAATGAGAGGGAGGTAAAAAAAGGATTAAGAATGGGGAAAACAACAATTACTTTAATTCTACCCTACTTTGAATAATACCAAATATTTACTATTTTTTTCTGACAACTCATGTTTAAAGGATACTTATTACAAGGGTGGGAAGGAAGAATAAAGTTTATTTGAAAAATACAGACTCTGAATTAAGAGCTTGCTGAAGTCAGGGAATGACTTCCAATGGCTTTAATGGGCTTTGGCTCAAGCTGTTTCAGTGTGGCAAAGAAAACAATATAAACTGGAGTGGGATTTATATCCCTACTATAAATAATGTATGTAATCTCAACTGCTGGAGACAGTACTTGTATCTATCTAATTTATCATTATTAAAGTGAGATTATGGCAGCTTTATGTGAGACAGAGGCAAATCCGGGTCACTAATGAAGAGAGCTCATTTACATTATCCACTGTAACTCCTCAGGCACTTCCATTCTTTACTTTTAAAACCTCAATCTTGCCCCCCTGTGGCCCATGATAATATAGCACATGTGCGCAGTATAAACTCCCCCCAAAACCAGGCCGGATATTTAAAATAAAGAGCATGTATAATCGGTTTTGGTTTGCCATTTTTTCTTCAACTTCAAAATAAAAATGTCAAATAGTCAAGGCACAATTTGCTGTTCAACCTATATTTACTACTAGTACATCCTAAAACTGCCAGCACCAAAGAAACCAACTTGGGAGATTTCTGCATGAAATCTCATGCAGTTTCCCTCTCATTCCCTCTCACTAAGGATATTTCCATAGGCAACAGGAGGCAGCTGATGACTCAGGATGATAATCGCTACAGCTGGGTTCCATCATTCAGTTCCAGTAGGCATCTCTTATTATTTGGGAAAATGGGCTTTGTCCTTCAGAACTACCCCTAACTGCCTTGAGAGGTAGGTTTGGCTCAGCACAGTTCTGCAGACACACAGACATGTCACTGCAGTCAAGTGTCACAATGGCATTTGAAACTAAAACAGCTTCAGGTATCTATATGGTCTTTAAGACAGAAAATACCCACTCTGGTGTATTAGCAAAGGCTCATCCATCACCACCACCATCATCAACATCAAAACAGCTACGAGGGCTCTGGATGGCAATGAAATTCATGGCTACAGATCTTAAAGGCAATTTCTGAGAAAATAATACTCTCCCTCCAACAAAAGAAACTAGCAAATAAGGTGCTTGCAGGTAACATGCCTGAAAAGAGGTGACTACTTCAAATGACCACCCCAATTATTTCAGAAAAATAATACCCCACTCCGTCTATGGACATGGGGAGACAAAACCTTTACATGTTCCTTTAAAAGCCTTTATTTTAAATGCTTATCATATTAAATGATATAATAAGCTTTGTGTCATCTGTCCAACTTCAGCATTCTCTCTGCCTTCTCTGTGAAAAATAATTACTCTTCATACTAACCCTGCAGGTTTAGTAAAAAGAGCTTCCAACTTGGTCCATTATTTGCCCCAGAAAAAATGTTCCACAGGATTGTCAGGTTCTTTCTTACAAGGATCAAGAGAACCAACCATTAATTTTAAAAAGGTCATGTCATCAACTGTGGACACGTACACAGCCTGCCTTGAGTGCACCCTTTCTTACAGCCGCTGGCTGCACAGTTACCAAAACTTACATTTGGTATTTTACCCTGTATTATTTCCTAACAAAGAATCCTTCCTTCCTAACAACTTCTTACTACTAATTTGACACATTTATTATTCAGAAAGACTGCCAAACTACCACCCCTTATTTTATCAATTAAATAGGCAAAGCAACAATGCAAGCTCCTAAGCTCCCAGTTTGCCTTCTCTTCCCCCAAGATGTTAACCAAGCTGATTCACTCTCAGCAGCCATCTGATCCTTTTGCTCTCCTGAAACGATCAACACAAAGGAAATTAATGCCAACTGTGGAGGTAATTTTGTATTGACACTTTTCCAATAGGATCCAGACTTAGACCACCAGTGTCTTTCACAGGGGACATCCACCCACCCTCAGATGGTTGTAATTTCCCAACAGCAACTGTCCTGGGATGCATTCAGAATAATACCAAAAGCTGAGAAAGATTCTTTATTTCATTATCAGTTTTTTACACCACTGATTCTTCAAGGCGTTGTTTTATTTTTAAGTCTACCAATATAAAACATCCTGTTTAAAACTTACTTCAGTACATATATAAACAATACATAAAATATAACCAACCTATTCAATATAAGGTGATTTTATTTTACAAATTACATTAACCTGCTATACTTCCATCTACAGTATAATTAGTTAATATTTCCTTTCATCCCACCAGCCAAAAGGCTAATCCTCACAGCAGCTGTTACTACTCCAGTACAGAATGACTGTGAATTTAACCTCTCCTGGATATAGCCCAATAAATTCTGTTGTTTTTCTAAGCACTTTTGTGAATTTAAATGGACGTTAGCTTGCCATCCAAATTCAGGAACAGGTCTGAAGTGGCTTTTAGGCAAGTCGCCAAATAACTTCCCAATTCCCTTATAGGGTGTTAGCTCTCACCCTAGAGATCTTCGAAGCAAGAACTGAAAAACAACACCTTCTTCATTTCCTCAAAATTATTTTTTTCATTTTCTAAGCACTATTTAAACAAATTATGCACAAAATCACATTAGAATAATATTAAGGGCTCATTCGCACTCTTCAGTTCTCAGCAATTTCAACCTAATGCTACCAATACAAATATGAGAAGAATATGCCCTCCTGCAACCTTTCCGAGAGTGCAAAGGCCAGGATATTGAAAAGCTTGAACATAAAATTCAACCCAGCACATGTGTTTGAATACAGAGTAAGGCAGAGGAGGACAGCAATACTCCCCAAGATAATGAAGATCTGTTATTAGAAACAACTTTTCTCCAAGACTTCAATTTCCATTTTCAGAAGTAACATAATTTACTTTTTGATTTGGCAAAGCAATAAACTTTACCTTTAAACCAATTAGAAATCTGCAGAATTTAAGCACATTACTTGTGTTTTCAAATCTCCTCTCCTGGAGATGAAATATTTCCTGTTTGGACAGGAAGTCATCAGCCAGACTGCATCAATGTGTGGCTTTAGGCATTGTAAAATTAGAAGCATTCAGGGTCCCCGTACAAAGACTCGCCTGCTGATAATAGGTTTTCTTTCTATTTCACATGCCCCTAACAACAGTCTGTAAGACTGACAGTCACAGTAGAAGATACAGGCCAGCTAGAGAAAATAAACTTCTGAGTAATAATGAACTTTCAATCCCTAAAACAGACTCATTTATAAGAAATCAGTTATAGTTGTAATGAAATAACCATTTCAACTGCATACCCTCTCTTCACAGCCATTAGATCTGATCTGCTGTGCCTACTAGATATAAGTGTAAATTTTCATTTTATGCTTCAATGCAATTATTGATATTATATACAGTTTTATATATATATATACACACGCATTTAAACATTGGCACAGGGTGCCCAGAGAAGCTGTGGCTGCCCCATCCCTGGCAGTGTTCAAGGCCAGGTTGGACAGGGCTTGGAGCAACCTGGTCTAGTGGAAGGTGTCCCGTGGCAGAGGGTTGGAACTGGATGAGCTTTAAGGTCCCTTCCACCCCAAATCAGGCTGTGACTCTACAATTTGCCCTCATTAACAAAAATGTTAAAGCTCCCTCAACATGAAAAGACTAAACTCAGCACCTGTAGAAACAGGGACTAAGGGAGGCAGTGCATGATACAGACACTCCTCAGGAGGTTAAGTACTTCCAGGCATGTCTGCTTCTGGCGTCCTTTGGAGCTCCCTCGTATTACATGCCAGGGAGAAAATCAACCACGTGGCAACTAAACTGCCCCTTCAATCACCATGCAAGTGCCAAATTAGCAGATACACTACAGCCATGTGTGGTTTTAAATTTGACACAATTTACCACCATATTTCTCCCTCTCAGGCAGGCAGCCCCTGCCCTGCCAGCTGACCAACCAGAGAGACAACAGGCCCAGCAGCTGCTAATAAAATCATAGAATTAGCTAGGCTAGAAAAGACTTTGAAGATCATCAAGTCCAACCATTCCCCAGCACTGCCAAGGCCATCACTAAACCATGCCACTGAGGGCCTCGTCTAGACGGTTTGTAAACACTTCCAGGGACGGTGACTCCAGCACTGCCCTGGGCAGCTTGTTCCAGTGCCTGAGCACCCTTTGGGGAAGGAATTGTTCCTAATACCCAGTCTAAACTTCCCCTGGCACAGCTTGAGGTAGTTTCCTCTTATCCTACCCCTTGTTAATTGGGAAAAGAGACCAGCCACTTTCTCACACAAGCCTCCTGAAAAGCAGTTCTCCAGACTAAAACCCTCCAGGTCCCTCAGCTGTTCCTCATCAGACTTACACTCGACACCCTCCACCAGCTCCATTACTCCTCTGAAGAAATGAACCCACTTATCACCTCACACGCTTTCTAGTCCCTGAGCAGTTGCTGTTTACCATTGGTTTAATTGTGGCAAGTGTGCACGCTGGCCTCAATTCCTCCTTTTCCCAAGAAGCAAGGAGACCTGCCAACCTAGAGCTCTGCTCTATCCCCTTCCCACCTGAGGAAGCAGACGGCTCCCTCTGCTCCCCATCTTGCTCCCGCTACTTGCTCTAACAGAACGAATTCCCACCTTAACCTGTCCTCACCTCCGCCTCGGCAGCGTTTTAATCACACAAACACACTGGAAGAGATTTTTCGGTTTAAAACCGCGCGGGGAGGGGCTGCGTATCTTTGCCCCTTAGGTGAGCTCCCCCCTGTGGCCCCGCTCTGACAAGACGCTGAGGTGAAGGGTGCCTCCATTTCCCGGCGCACCTCGGGGCGGCAGGAAGGGAAGGGGCGTGTGTGTAAGATGGCGGCGCTCAGCGCGTGGGTCCCCACAAGGCTGTCACGGGCGGCGCGGGCTCTATGGGGCTGTCGCGCCCGACGGGGCCTCGGGCAAGACGCGGCGGCCGCGGGCGGTACGTGAGGGAAGAAGGGATGGGAACAGGGATCCCCCACCGGGCTCTCTCATTGCAAAGGCTCTTCATGGTGATCTGAGGAGGGCGGGAGGAGGGGTGTGGGGCTGTTTTGGGTCTTCAGTGGGAGGGGGTGGTATTGCCGCAGCTTCCCGCCGGCTGGGTTAACAGAGTGTAAAATGCTCCTGCAGGAGGGACAGCCGCCAAGCCTGCCTTCACGGATGAAGCGGTTCAGAATCTGCTTTACAAAATGACAGGGCTCAACCTGCAGAAAGTGTTTAGGCCGGTGAAGAAGGAACTTAAGCCACCAACATACAAGCTGATGACAGAAGCTCAGCTGGAAGAGGTAGGCTACTCAGCTTCTTGTTGATATAAGCTTTGGATTTAGCAAAAAGCTTGTAGTGGTCCTGTAACAGTTTGTGTTTCTGCTTCCTTTAATGCTGCTGTTGAAAACATTTTGATTTCTTTACTCGTTTCCTAGAACCATAGAATCAGCTAGGTTGGAAAAGATCCTTAAGATTATCAAGTCCAACTGTTCCCCAGCACTGACAAGGCCAGCACTGCCCTGGGCAGCCTGTCCCAATGTCTGACCACAATTGTTCTTAATATCCAATCTAAACCTCCCCTGCTGCCACACTTATGCCGATACAAGCCAGGATGATGGTGGCTTCTTGGCTGCCTGGGCACAAGCTGCTCATTTTCAGCTCTGTCAATCTAAACCTTCAGGTCCTTTTCCGTGAGTTTGGAGTGGCCTCCAGCCACGTATTCACTAAGCCCGGAGCATTTAGGTTTTGTGTAAATCAGTGTTTTTCCACTTTAAATAGTCAGCTTTATTTATACAAATTCTCTTGATTTATCGTGGAATATGAAAGGAAATCAGATGCTCTTTTGTTTTCTTGAGTAACAGGTTTTCTTAATTATTCTCTTTCCCTAAACTGGTGACTGTGGCTTATGCTTTGGAGGAAATTTGCCATGATAAAATAACTGAAATACACTTGGCGTTTGCAGTAGTATATATACATTTTTTGTTTAGGAACAAACTCCACCAGTTTGCCCAAGCTACAGTCGTGGTATATTGTTCAGTTGTGATTCATCTACTTGCAGACGGAATTAGTGTCTCACTTCTCATGTTTGTCCAAAAATTGTATCTTAGCTTTTTATTTAATTGTAAAATTTAACTATTTTTTTCCTTTTCCAAGGCCACAAGAAAAGCCATTGAGGAAGCTAAAGAAAGACTAATGATGCCCCCTGTTTTGGATGAACGAGAGCCAATTGATGATGTCTTAGCAGAAGACAAATTACTTGAAGGAACTGAAACTACAAAATATATCTTTACAGATTTAACTTACTCTGTTCCACATCGTGTAAGTAACAGTGTATTCTTTCAAGACTTTATCATTCTTAATTTCAAATTAACCTTTAGATTTGAATAAAGTATCGTTCTGTTAGTTTGTAAAAAGCCTGAGGAGTTGCAAGTTCAGGCTGGTACAAGGGAATACAAAGAAATGTATTTCTAAATGTTTGTTTATGACTGATAGTGACTGACATTCCAGTACTCAAAAGCAGTCTTGGTGGGGGGCTGTGGGGTAGTTGGCTAATTATTTCAAAAGCAGATGCTTGTGATATGCTAGGCGTGCTCCTCCACACATCATAGAACCTTTCTGTGGAACTGGATTACTTACTACTGGGCATAGACCAGAAGATGGAGTTACTTCACAGCGGCAGAGGAAAGCTGAGTAAGTGATAAAGTAAATTCTCAGGAAAGCTGTGAAGAAACAGTTGTCAAATAGAATTATGGAGCATAGGGGTAAAGATTGCTTTGTTTAATGAAACATCCAGATTGTCTTAGGTGCCCTTAGTAAGAGACTGGAAAATTTCTTAAGAAGTAGTTATTATTCTCAGAAGTCTCCATGGTTCAAACATGCATATGGTGATAATACCGTGAAATGAATTGCCCAGTCTCCCAGGCTGGAGAAAGGAAGACTTGCCCCTGGTCGTAGAGGGTTGGGTTAGGGGTAGGCTAGTCAGACTTGACACCCATAAATCCACTGGCCCTGATGGCATACACCCATGCGTAGTGAGGGAGCTGGCAGATGTTGTTGCTCTGCTGCTTTCCATCATCTTTGAAAGATCATGGAGATCAGGAGAGGTGCCTGATGACTGGAGGAAGGCCAGTGTTACTCCCATCTTCAAAAAGGGCGACCCAGAAAACTGCTGGCCAGTCACCCTCCCCTCCATCCCTGGAACAGAGATGGAACAGGTCATTTTGGGGGTCATCACCAAGCATCTAGAACAAAAGAAGGTCGTCAGGAGTAGTCATCATGGATTCACCAAGGGTAAATCTTGCTAGACTAACCTAATAGCCTTTTGTGATGACATGGCAAGATGTCACCATGACAGAGGAGAGCAGTGGGTTATATCTGCCTCAATTTCGGCAAGGCTTTTGGCACTGTTTCCTGTAACATCCTCATAGGTAAGCTTTGGAAATGTGGGTTACTTGAATGGTCAGTGAGGTGGATTGAGAACTGGCTGAATGGCAGAGTTCTAAGGGTCATGATCAGGAGAGTAGAATTCATTTAAATGCCTGTAGTCAGTTGAACTACATGATCTCCAACCCGAAAGAATTGTGTGATTCTGATCTACTACACCATCTGAGAACTCTCTCCAGGTACCTGCTATTTATTCTTCTGCCTCAGTGTACTGAAAACTTCCTCATTCCAATGGACTTTCCTGTGTGCTAAATCAAATATGCTTGTGAAGAGATACAAGTGTGTTTTTTTTACTTGTATTTTTTGTTTTGCACTTGCCCTTACTTGATTCTAGCACCTACCTCTGAAACAGCTGAAAAAGTCCAAGACTCTTCCCTTCTTAGCTCAGTATGTGTTATTAAATGCATCAGTCAGGCTGGCAGCAACACTAGCTCCTTTCTCTCACTACTAGTTAGGTTATCTATGTAAACTTCACAGACTTGTAGCTCTGAGCGTGGGCGCATGCAGTTATGTCACACAGTAAAATAAAAGTGAAAATATAGCACTTGGTGAGCAGGTATCAAGGGAGAAATGATGCATCTAGCACATAGCATCAATCAACTAGAAACTGGTGTTTTTAGTGTGAGTTTAGGTAGAGAAGGACTTTGGCAAAATAAGATCTTTTTGCAATGGTTCTGGCTACAGAGAGAGCAGACTTTGGGCGATGATGCTTTTTTTACCTTCTTTTCAGGAACGTTTCATTGTTGTTAGAGAACCGAATGGTGTGTTACGCAAAGCAACTTGGGACGAGCGAGACAGAATGATACAGATATTCTTCCCACAAGAAGGGCGCAGAGTTATTCCCCCAGTGCTATTCAAGGATGAGCACCTTGGGGTAAGATCTTTGGGTCTGGAAATCGATGATTTTTATATAACTGTGCTCGGACAGTGAAGCTGTGCTAGATGGACAGAGTAACTCTGAGTAAACCAGTCTGCTGTTAGGTTTTAAGCTGTTCCAATTTTCTTTTGAACAATTGCTTATCATTGAAACTTCGTTAAAGTACTTGTAATGAAGTTTCAGGTTAGGGCAAGGTAAATACTGGGTAGGTGCAAATATTTTGTTATACCAGAAATCCACATCTAATTTGTTCTGCTTTGATGAAATCACATGTTTAATCTGAAAAATTCAGGGGAAAAGAAATCAAAGAAACATTAATACAATACCATTAAAGCAGTTCCTATAGTCTTATTCATTTTGTTTTGTGATTAAGGGGGATGCTCAGTATAAGTGTTGCCTAGAACAGAAATGTTGTGGCTGCTGTTTTGATTTTGGAGCATTGGAATGGTGTGATTCAGAATGTAGTCCTGAATTTGAACTGTTGTTTTAGACCGTATTTCAGCAAGACCGTCATGAGGATGTCCTCAACATGTGCATTGCTCAGTTTGAGCCAGATTCAGCTGACTATATCAGAGTGAGTTCACTTTCCTTTTTTTCTAGTATAAATAGCATTAATGAATAACTTAAGGGTTTGTTCTATAACCATGTCCTGGTTTCCCACAGCAGTAACCATCAGCATTATCTAGGCATCAGAGGTGCTGTTTGCATGTTCTTTTTTTCCCTGTATAGATTACCTGTTATCTTCTTTATTTTTTTTTCTTGTAGAAAAGTAACACAGTATTCTGTTTTAAGTAATTTCCACAGTATACAAAGAACTACAGATGCATGAAAATAGCCCTTACATAGTGGGGGTTTGGTATCAAACCGGAAGTTATGATAATGCCTGTAAGTGACCACAATCAGAGCTGTGCTCACTCAAGTCATGCTGACTGCTGCACTGGGATTTGAAAGAACAGGGTAGATAATAAATGATAGTGCAACTGAGAGCACTGTATTATTTTTGGCAAAGACCAGGTACAAAAAATACAATTCTAGCAGAAACCTAGCTACTGGTGAATAGATTAATCTATACTTGCCTTTAAAATGTTTATTTCTCTTTAAATTGTAGTAATTTCTCAAGGCACTAAGAATGTAACTTCTGTTAAGAGATTTTCAAGTCCCTTTTCCTCAAAGTCAAATTTCACCTCTTTGCTCCTTAAGGGAGAGATTACAACTTGACAGCAGTGAAGATTCAGAGGAGATGTCCCTCCCTTACCAGATTTTTAGCACACAGCTAGTATTTAGCTTTCTCCTAACATAAAGATGTCTACCCCTTAGTAGCAAGAATTTAGGTCATCCCAGTGTTACCTTGAATTATAACATGTATAAAGCTTTAATGTTGCCTGTTGCTTATTCCTGCACGTTAGGGAGGAAATACATAGAAACTCAGAGATGTAGAGGGGAGAAACTGTCATCCAGCTCCGGTTATGCTGATGAGAGTGAAAACTTTTCTGTGTATAGGTTCATCATCGGACGTATGATGACATTGAGAAACATGCCAAATACGACCTGCTCCGTTCAACAAGACATTTTGGAGGCATGGTATGGTATCTAGTCAACAGAAAGAAAACGGATGGCTTACTAATAGATATGATCAACAGAGACTTGTAAGTGGTGTTTTGTCACTTATCAATTCTGGTTATCTAAACAGAAAACAACAAGTACCAGTGTTTGAAAATAAAGTATTTCTGTAAGGTGTAACATGTTTTCATTTGCATGAAATCTTAGGCTACCTGTAACTTTTAGTTACATAGATGCTGAATGGAAGCACCATAGCAGCTCTGGCCAGGGCTGATCTTAAAGCCTAACAAGTTTCTTGGCTTTTAAGATTGGCACACCTTTTTCTTCCTTCTTTAACCTTCCTGTTAAAGTTGGAAGCTTTCAATAGGTGGTCAGATCTTACTTTTAAACTCAAGTATAAGAAGCAATACAGAAAAGTTCCAGTTTTAGAATCAAATTGTTAAAGGAAAAATTGAAATGTGTGGACAGTTAACATTACTGGAGTCAGGAGCATCTTTATCTACCACACACTTTGGCTAATGCTTGCATTTATGTAAAGCATCTGTTCAAGTTCTAAATGCAGCTGAGGGCTGAGGTGTCACAAGATTTCTAATACTGCATCTGTAAAACGTGCTGGTTACTGCAGTCCATGTTAGTAAGTTTCTGCAGTTGTTCTGCTAAATCCTTGCTACTGGGTAATTAATTGTATTTCACAGATTTCAGCTTAATTAAGCATCAGGCTTAAACTGCAGTATGGCTACGTTTAAGTACCTTACCTGATGAGTGTTGGTGCTCGCATGCTTCTGGTCTGCCTTCTCTTGAACAGGTTGCCTTTGCAATAGATGGGATGCCTGTTGAGCTAGATGTCCCAGTTAGCATATAGCCAGTGAAAGCAGTTTAAGAAAGCCTGTGGTGTGCAAAGTACATATTCTTTAAGTCCTCTTAAGTATTGAGGGAAAGCTAATACTACAAATGAGCCTTTATTTGTTTAGGCTGGATGATGCTACGAGTTTAATTACACTGTATCACATGCTTCATCCTGAATGTCCATCAGCAAAAGAAGCTAAGGAAGGGAAGCTTCAAGGAGTTGATCTGATCAAGGTATGCTTTTCCACTTTAAGGTTATGTAACTACATAAAGCTTCTAAAGAGCAGAAGTTGAGTTTCAGTCTAATTTCTACTTAAGAAGTGAGTAACTAGAACTGTTACACATGCTGGTTTGCTGGGGGCTTTGTGCCATTTTTAAAACTATATATAGCTGCTCTAGGATTCAGGTTGTCACTGGCTGATGTACCATGGGAATGATGAAATACCATTATTCAGGGATGCTCTTAATTGTACATTAACGTCTCTCCCGTCATGTTTGCAGGCATTTGCAAAAACTGAATCACAGAGAGAAGGCTATATACAATTGGCCCTCCAGACCTATGAAGAAACAATGGCTACTTCTACAGCTTCATGAAATTCACCTTTGTTCCTCACAAGTTTTAAGTCTGTTTATAAACATTCTCTGTACAGGATTCCACAATAAATACTTCAAACACCTTGCTGTTCTAGCACTTTTTTTACTGAAGCATGTATGTAAGAATCATTAGAGCAGCTTGTATTTGCAAAAACCCTGTGTGTTTAATTCCTCTACATGAATGTAAATGGACTCCTGAAGCTAAAGAATTGCCCACAAGTCATTTTAATTGTTGATGTTTAGGGTCTGCAGAAATTGCTTTAGTGAGGTGTCTACCACCACGTCTGTGCCTTAAGCCAGATTACTGCTGTGGTATACAGCTTAGCTAAAAGTGTCTGGAATAGTTACTGAGCTACTGTTGTTAACAGACACAAACTAAAAAGCACACTGAAGAAGTTAACAGTGTAAAGGTTAAGTGAGGTTAAAATAGTAATGATTGGCTACAGTGCCCCCATTAGAAATATTTGCAACACAAAGTACCGAAGCTCAGTTATGAATAGTAGAATTGCTAATAATGGGAGAACTCAGGAATAGAAGGGGTAAAAGGGTTTTATTGAACTGCTTAATAAGTGATTTTTCAGTATGCACTGGAGCAGGCCTACATCTTTACTTTTCAACATACTAGAGGCTGTTTTTTTTTTAGAATTCCTGGGTCCACCCTTCTTTCTACATGTACATGGTCCATTGGCAGTATAAAAAAAAAATTAACTTGGAGCACACAACCCTTAAATCTTCATTTCCTTGTCTGGAGTAATGGATTTGGTTATTTAAATAGTATGTTCACTCATCTAAGATCTCTTCATCCAGATTGATATCTGTGGTATCAATATCCTCCAAGTCCAAGTTATCCAAGTCATCTTCCAAGTCAAGGAGGGTCTAGGAAAACAGAAGTCTAGATTAAGTAGATGCTAATATGGTTACATGTTTTCCAGCTTGTACCGTGTATTCACATGTTCTGCAGAATACCAAACTGAGGCAGTTGGATGGAACAGAAGCTGTAGAGGGAAGCTGCCTTCTTGATAAGAAGGCAGCTCAGAGATGTAACTTTCCACCATGTTCTGACCAACTGTTACTGTGTACAGCTTCTGCATAGAACAGGAAGGGATTATACACTGTACTTGTCCCAAGCTGGCTGGGTCTGTTAGTGTACAGAGTGACATTTTCCAGGTGTAATCACATTATCAGTTGGAGTGTTTTATGTAAAATGAGTTTAGTGCTTGCTCATGAAAAAAGATCTTGGTACCTTTTGGTCGTTTGTTGGAAGTAGATCAGAACTCTGTAAAACCGTCTTCATCACATCTTGTTTAGGAGATGGAGCTGGTTCTTCAGCCTTCCTCTAATGAAAAAGACATTCCTTAAGTTCTTTTAAGAAAAGCAAGACAAGAGCAGCAGACCTATAACCTCCCCTCCTGCTGTGGTTCTTTTTCAGAGATTCCCACAGTAATTCCTGAACCACTTCTTCACAGCCCTTAAGCATTCTAGTCCTCACTCCAGTAGAGACTACTGCTTCCCCACTTAAGTTTATTTAAAGCAGTTGATGATGGGACTGATACAATGAAAACAACCTTCAGAAGCCACCAGTTAAATTACAAATACTGAAGTGCTGTTAGAAAGCATAGTGATCTTCAAGGTCCTCAGCAGGAAAGAGACAAGGCTATTTGAGACTGTCAGGGCAGTTTTAGCAAAGGCAGTCAATACTGGTACTGTGGCTGGTCTTTGTGTTCCATGCCCTGTAGCAGTTTAACACTTACCCTTCTCTCTTCACTGCTGCACAAGTTTTATCTTAACATAAGTGATCAACAATGGTAGTATTCAATTAGCTGTACTTAGGTTCATTAACTCCCACAAAGCTTCCCATATTCAGCCTCAGCTGTAAGAGAGACCTGCTGTTTTAAGGACTTCCATGCAATCATTAGTTGAATGCAAAGATATTCTGACATCAGTGGTCCTGTTTTCAGCTTCTAATGCAAACTAGCTCCAATCTGCTTTAGACAACTTGTGCAATGCTATTTCTGTATATTTTTTAACAAATGTGCACACAAGTTTGATCGTGCTGTAGTGATTACTTGTTGTGCGTGATACAGAAACACAGTCACTAAAGGCGAGTCAGCTTATAACTACAGTTAGCTCAAGTCAGCTAACTTCTCTGAACTGTCACTCAAGGTTTGTAGCACATCGCCTGTGAGGAAAAAAATGGAGACAGAATGGAGAGTTGTGACTTCCTGTTTCTCTCTCTGTTTCAACTGCAGTTCTTTTAGAAGTTTATAGCCTCAAATAGCTGTGCCAACACCGGTGTCTTTAACAAGCTCTCACATTCTGATTTTCATGTTCAAATGTAAAGTACACTTGAGATGACATTCCTAGGCAGTAAGATACGGAATAGTCTTATTCCATAACCACACACTAGCAAATAACATTAAACATTTTTAATTCCTGTAATATGCAAGAGTGCTCACGTTCCAACTACTGAGCTTTTAGAAAGCTAGCAGCAGGGGAAGCAGCATTTGAATGTGCAACTGAAACTGGTTTTCTGCAGGGTAAGTTCAGTGGTAAGATGCTGTGATTACACACACTAACAAAAGATGGCGCAAGTAACCACACAAAAAACTGCAGTCAAGAAGTCATCAGTAGTTAAAGTAGACTAAGAGCCTGAAACAAAAGAACACAGAAGTCAGCTGCAGTGCTTACAGTCAAACCACTAAGAGCAATGATTTGTTCATTAGGGGCACAATATTCTCCAGGGCACATGTTACCGTACAACAGCAAAGTTGTTCTTTCTTTGAATACTTAGTAGTAACACTGACCTCAGATGCCATTACTCCAGAAGGCTGAAATCCTTTTGCTTCTTCAAGTAAGTTTCTTTCTTCATTTGGCTACAAGAAAACCAAAACACAGCTTCATGGAGTGTCTGAGTGGTTGCACTGACCTGCTTAAAGCTGCTTTTACACAGCACCAAGTATTGCTCTTCTAGAGACAAGAACTCCCATTTCTTACTCACAGTGACAAGGGGATATTCCCTGGCTGGCCGCAAGTCAGCAAGACTTTGTTTAACGTATTCCTCAGCAACAAAAGCTTCCTTTAGTCCAGGGAAAAGATTCTCATACTCTGTAGGATCAGCAAGGGACTCCGCAGCTTTCTGATTGACTTTAGAGAGATTCTCCCGCCACAGTTTAACCACCCTGGAGATGCAAACAGTCTCTGTTACATACAGCTAGCTTGGACAATACTATTAATGCTCTGCATGTGCTTTAGAAGTTACCTTGAAACTTGGCTTGGTAAATATGTCCGTGCAAGAAAAGCAGCTTCTGGGAGACGGCCGGTTTTAATCAGGAGTTCCAAACAGGAGTCGAGCCTAGAAGGTTTTAAAATGTGATTTTTACAGACTTCTTTTTTATGTAAGATTACCTCTTTATCCTATTAAAGTGCTTTCCATTCAGGTTTTTAAAGTCGCAGCTGCCACAAAATAGCATCGGCTTCTCTGTACCTGCTACAATCTTTCTCCATCAAGTCTTAAGTTAGCTGTAGCTAACAATGTAAAGAATCTAGGAGGTTCTTTGTACTTGGGAAAGCAGAACATACCTAGCTTCATCTCTTGCTTGCTACTTACTTTCCCTGCAGGAAGTAGCTCATAAACGCCACATTATTCTTGCCATCCTTTTCAGCTCCTTCAGCTAACTTATTCACCATGTTAGCGTTTCCTGAAGCTGTAGCCAGGAGCAGCAGTCCTCCGTAGTCTTGTGCATGGTGGAGACACTCCTGGGCTAAGCCAAACTGGCATTTACTAATGGCAAGCTCAGCAAGTTGTTTCCATTTCTGTTCCGACTAATGGTACAAAAAAGGGAGAGGGAGGGCAGGAAAGAGAGACAAAAAATAACCCTCACACTTCTGAGCAGCATTTAAAGATTTTTCAGAGCATCCACCATTAAAATGTAAGTTTACTTGTGAAGGTGCTACATCCCACCGTTAAACTTGTCTTCCCTTTCAGATACCATGTTTACTGCAGCTTCACAACATGATATAGCAAGTTTTATCATTACACAGCTATAACATTACACCAAATAAATACTTTTTCATTAAGCATGGAGGGAGGAGGTAGGAATAACTTAGGCAATTTAAACAGTAACAACTCCTAAGTTAAGCTTCAGAATATAAGAAAGGCATTTGTGTCTGTAACTAAGTTAACATGCTTTATCACTTAACTTTATTGGCTTACAACACAAACAGAGATCAACCCTCTGAATAAGAGCTATCGGACAAATCTCTGCCTGTCAGCCTTCCCAGTGCTTCAGTGTAAGTCTGTCAAGGCTGGAACAATGGCCTAGAGGCTTTCAGTCCTGTCACTCCTCCTCTCACTGTTAAATACTGAAGATTAAGGCCTGGTTCACATTTTGTTTTCTCCAGAAGTTCCTGTAGTTTTCTGAGCAACCATTTCTTCTGCCTCCATCCCACAGCTCAAATCACTCTGATTTACAGACAGAAGAGCTTCACTGAGGAAAGTTGGAGGCATTTATACAGTGTTCAAGGAGCAGTACTGCATCCCCACATAAATTTGTCTTTTCTTACAAGGCCTCTTCAGATTCATAATACTCAGAACTAGTATGAATCACCAAATTCAGTATGTTTACCTCTGCTTCCACTGCAAGCTGGTATGCTATTTTTAATTCTCCAAGCTGAAGAGCAAGTTCAAAACGATGCTCTGGATCTGTGGACACTGCAAGAGCTTGTTGCTTAAAGCCCTAAAACCAAAATTAGACAGTTAAGGCTCAAACAGATGTTTTAACAAAAACCCTCTAACGGAAGGTCACAGTATTCTCAAACATATCATTAACCAAAGTTTATGCTTACAGCTAACATAACTGGGATTGCTTAACAAATTCAATTAGAAATACGAATAAACCCATTTTTTAAGTTTTTGATAACCAAGAAGTAGATTTCTTGCCTGTTTTTCAAGAAAATGTGCAACTCTGGTTCTCTGTTCTTTTGGAATGGTGGGAAGGACTTTGTCAGCCATACTGAAATCTCTTCTCATCACAGCCGTTTGATACTCAAGCACCGAGACCAGCAAAGAGTAGCTAACAATG